TTCTCTGTAGCAGCAATGATAATATTGATAAAATAACACTATAAAATAGCTAATATTTCTCAAGAGCTTATTATGTGTCAGGCACTGTGCCATCAGTTTTACATGGATTATTTTATTAAATCCACACGATAACCCTGAGGAGCTAGGTACTGTTTTTATCTCCATTTTATAATGAGGAAACTGAAGACTGAAGAGGGCAGCGTCTGACCCAAGGCTGTTGTGGTGGGCTTGCTTAGCGTGTGCGTGTGCATGTGGAGGGGGCAGGTGGGGGACCATCCAGAGGGCAGCAGAGGGAGGCGCCGTCAGGTGGAAATAAGAGGCAGGAGTAGCGGGACCGGAGGCCAAGCAGGCGATCGGGTGAGAGCCCCGGGGGAGGGTGGGGCAAAGATACTCGCTTTAGTTTTCTTGAGACATTTTCCTGGGTTGCATATTGCCCCACATGTCACTTTTGCTCAGACAAGTCATACTGTGTTTTCACATTTTATCATTTTTTTAACATAGTAAGAGAGATTGCAGAGCCCAGTTTAAATCAGGGATGTGGAGGAAATCACATTTCCTTTGCTTGGTGCACTGTCTTCTTGTAGAGTGGTGCACAGACAGAGAGCCTTGAAAGTTTGGAAGAACAATGGATTTCAAACACTTTTTTAAAACCTCTGAAAATGAAGTCTTATGTAGCAGTTCAATATGTTAGGAGATAAAAGCTCGAAAGCTTGCTTTTAAGATAAAGGATCTACATTGTTGCCACGTATGCAATGTGGATGTTATACAGATAAAAGCAAGGTGCAGAACAATGTAGTGAGTCTGGTTACAAGGTACCAGATGTATGCACGGAAGAGAACCTGGGACTGGGGATCAAGTATATGAAGGAGAACTACTTTTGCCTTTTGTAGAATATAATTTTTTTTTACCTTGTGCATATATTAATTAAATAATAAAGTAGGACCGGGATTCAGGGTTTCTTAGCATTGATCCCTTGACCCTCTTTCCCTCCTCCCCCCAGACTTTCCTTGTTTCCTTTTTGGCACCCTTGGGGTTCCCTGGAGCTAGTTTGAGAAGCACTGACCCAGCAAGTGTTTTGGCTTTCTGTCTTAATATGAGCCAGCATCCACCTTGGCTGTGTTCACATTACATGTTGTCACTCAGGGCTGCTGTCATCCCCGCCATGCAATGTTTATGCAGGATGTGACCAAGGGCAGTGACCTCAAGTTGACCTGGTTTTATCCAATAAAACTACTCAGTATTTGGAATTGAAGGTGCCCTTCAGAGATGCTTGTGCTAAACCCAAGATCCTGTTTTTGCATAAAGTCCTCTGTCTACCCCAGAGTCACACGCCCCACCACTTAGCTCGAGGCACCCGCCTGTCTGCTGCCACTTACTCTTTCTCGTGCTGCTGCGCCCTTTGCGCAGAGAGCCTTGTCCGGGCGTCGTGACGGCAGCCGTGGGCACAAACACCGACCTGAAGGGACGGCTTTGCCGGGGGTCACCTTCCGAAACGCTGCTTTGGGAGGACACAGAGGAGGTGGACACCATCCATGTGGCGTCAGGACCAGGGCTCCGGGGATCTGGAAAACTGGATGTCTTTCTGGTTGTGGGAAATGTTTTTCAACGAGAAAAAATAGAGAAATGAAATGTTCAGTCAAGGCTCCTATTTAAGAAACCTGTCAGCTCCTAACTGTGCACCGCATGTGCCCCTCACCCTCCTCCTCTGTGTGCACACCGCTCAGCCCCGGGGGCCTCGCCCCCTGCATGTGGTGGCTGCGTGGGTGCGCTGTGGGCGAGGAGGGCCTCCTGCTGAGGCCCTGGTGGGACCAGAAGGCTTGAATCCCATCCTCTTTCACCCCACATCCCTTCAGCCCGTGAGGTCAGAGCACAAGGTCTTGTATGTGTTCAACTCGCTTTGCAGTGTCCACTCAGTGACTTTTCCACTAGATTCTAAACTCTCTGAAGGCAGAGGTTTTATATGACTTATTTTACACCCTCCGTGTTCTGCGTATATTGTTCATCAGTGAATGCTTGTTGAATGACTGCCGTAATGCCTTCTGCCCTGCTGCCAGTCACTTTGGCTGACGTTGAGCACTTCCTGCAGGCTGGCACTGGCCAAGTGCTTTGCCCGCATCGTCTCACGGGTTCTTCACAGCAGCCTACAGAGGGAGGTACTTTCACTGCCACCATTCTGTAGATGAAAAATGGACATCCAGCTACTTGCCCAGGCAGGTACTGAATCTGAGATGTGAACCCAGGTCGGCGCTGGCCCTCTGCCGCACCACTGCCTGACCACTGAGTGCGCCACCCCTGGCTCACCGGGGCACTCGCACTTGGTAGCAGGGTAACCCCTGCCTCCTGCTCGAAAGAAATGGACTCAAGCAGCAGGTAGGCCCTGCACATGCCTCCGTGAGACCCCGGCTCATCAGCCTGGGCCTCTGGCTTTGAGGAGAGTATTGAAGTTTGGTGAAACAGCTCTCTTCTTGTCCACTGTGTCCTGCCTGCGAGCCCCGCAGAGAATGGCCGTCATTTCACACACCCTTCCTGCTCTTTTGCCAATCCTGCCCCAAGGTCACCACTGCTGCTGCGCAGTCCACCACTCAGCTTGTCCACTCTGCTGAGTGAATAGCCTCTGCTGACTCCCTGGGAATAACCGGCCCCCCCCAAGGCCCCGGCGGCACGGCGACGCCTCCCTCGTGCTCTCCTTCCTGTCAGCCCCTTCAGGACTCTCTGTAGGTCATTTCCTCTTATTTCCCCTCTTTCTCCTTTCCTTCTTTCTTTTGCTTAGAAAAAGTGATATGTAGCTTAATAGCAAGCCAGCTACAGTTGTACAAAGATGGGTAGGGCATCATTTAGCACAGCCAGCTCTGCCCGAGAAGCATATGTAGCCAGATGTCCTCAGAAGTGATGTTTGCAGCAAGGGGGCTTGAATCCATAGCTGTCAGCTTGCCCCTTGTGCCTGGTGATGTGGTTGGTGAAGGGGAGTGGGCCGTCCACCAGAAGGAGCTCAGACTGTATTCCGGTTCTGGGGATGAGGGCTGGGGGCAGGAGGAAATCCCCAGCACCGGCTCCCTTGGCAGAAGGCAGTGTCTGCCTGCCTTGTGAACAGAGGCCTCGACGTGCTAGATGCGGCAGAGTGGACTGGCAGTAGGAAAGATGGGCTCCAGAATTAGTTCCAGCAGAGGCAGCAAGGACAGGCACAGCTAATTAGGCCCATGCCAGCCTTATTCCACCAGGCCCTCCTTTGAATGATTGTTTAGAGACCAAGGCGTGACCTCATTTATCTGAGCCCAGCACTAGGCTGAATTCCAGAAACTCCTAAATCCCAAGACCCCCATCCAATACCGAGTCCATGTCTTTTGGCAAAAAGCTCAGCACTTACCTAGCACTTTCTTCTAACATCAAAGCACTTTGCTAACCTATATTAATTAATCCCCATGACACCCGCCTGACCTGCAGACATTAAGATCCTTGTTTTTCAGATGGAGAGATGGAAAGACATTCTGGGTTGTGGTGGAAGAAGGGCAGATGGCTTCTGATTCGCTCCACTGCGCTGCTGTGGATGTGTAGGTCCCTGTGGCCTTTTCTATCTGTGACCTGAGCCTGAAGAACCCCGGCATCTGAAAGGGGTATTAGGGCAGCGCTGTTGTAATCCCCACATAGCCTCCCGGGGAGGGAAGCTGGACCCTGGCGGCCCCAGTTCCCTGTAGAAAGTTAAAGGAAAACGAGTGGCGGCCCTTGTGTCACTTTTCTCCTCCATAAGGCACTGGGGGGGGGGGGGCACGTGTGTCCCATGAAGGCTGCGAGAAAGAGAAATATCCCGGCCAACCGGGCAGAAGGGAATTCATAGGGAGGCCAGGAGGGCATAGAAAGGGCTCGGAAGCAGGATCCAAGGGAGGCTGCAGGGGCCCGGCAGCAGGAACCCGAGGTGGGCGAGGCGGGTCGGGCGCTGGTGTGTTCTCGCCACAGGTGGCCGTCAGCTGTGCCCGCATTCCTCCCTCCCACGTGCAGGCTGCTGAGCCCCAGGGGAGGGTCAGGCCAGTGCCTGCCCCTTGGCTGCGGTGATGCGTTGAGGAGGGGCAGGAGGAAGACCTGGTTTCTTCAGGCTCTGAAGATGGAGGAAACGGCCTCTCAAGACTGTGCGTGGAGGCGGAGACCCCAAGGGACGCTGGCGCTGCTGAGAAGGGGTTTGGATGAAGACGTGACCTGTGTTCTGGGCATCCTGAGCCATCGGGAGCCCCTGGGGCTGGGGAAGCGTGTCGTGGTGACAGACATCTGGCTGCGGTCAACACAGCTGGACAGTTTGGCCTCACCATGCGGCACCAGAGGCTGGAGCCCTGGGTGAGCGCAGCAGCCTCCTCCTCTCTCAGTGATTAAGAGGCTCACTTGCTGGATCTTAAACCCAAGCGCTTTTGGTCAACTCTGGTCTATCTGTAGTTAATCCTGACACTCTGGCTGGCGCGGCTCATCAGGGGATGGTACTGGAAGAGCAAACGTTCAGATGTGCAGGGGCACCTCACGCCTTGGCACCCTGGCTGTTTTATTAAAGACCATACTCTGGGGGTTGGGGGCAGTGCATCAGTGCAAACAGAGCACTAAGACGGGGAAAACCTCATGCACACACAGCTCAGGGGCACAGAGGGCCCTGCAGCTCAGTCCTAGGAGGACCTGCAGAAGCAGTAGGAATTCAGCTGACAAGGACACCCTCATTCCACCCCGAGATGCAGGAGGAGCCAAAGTGCCCATGGAAAGCCTGGTTACGAGCAAGAATGAGCTGCTGCCAGAGACACCCACTGGCCATGTGCCACCCGTGTCCCACATCAGTGGGGATAGAGACTTTCTCTGCGTGTGGGGGCCCATCAAGGAAAACACACACATACAGAAAGCACCGATCCTGTCACCTAACAGCCCTCGCGAGAATATACTCAGGGGCTCATTAGAAATGCTGGTTCCTAGAAATAAAAACACCCATTAGCATAAGTAGCACCTCAATATACGCATGAATCCAGGTTTCTGTGAGCTGGGGGCAGGCTCGGTGGCACCCTGAAACTCCACCCGTTGTCTGACCTGCAGCCACCTCGGAGTGGCTAAGTCTGGGTGCTCACGACCTGCAGGAGGACACGATACATCCACCCAGGAGAAGAGCCGAGGAGGGAGGGAAAAGGCGGAGCCGTGAAACCTGCTGGCAGGGAATCCTAGGCACATGCTCATTAGGGGGACCCTGTGTCTGATTTCCCAGCAGCGTCTCAGGTTACACCTGCCCTCCTGGGGTGTGAAGAGTGCCCTTGGATCTCAAAGGCGTTTTAGTTTGGATGACACATTGTACAGCCACTCCCATTCCAAGGGTTCTTTCATAGACTAACCAGGTCTCTGGGCTAAGGCCTGAGGCAGAGACAGATGCCCTCACAGTAGGCATGGGCACCAGGAAATTCATGTTAGATCCCACGGAACAAACTTGGTGATTTAGAGCAGGTGTCCGTGTTGCTCCTCATTGTCACTTCTGGCCGTTCTCCCACCCTCCTCAGTACTTCCCAGCTTCCACTCGTACTGTCAGCCTCCACTACCCACACCTCCCTTGCTGACGCCATCATTTCCCCTCCAGGTCTCTCCCTCATTCCTTGACGATTTTATCTCCTGCCTCACTGTCATTCTCTCCAGATCCTACGCTGATGATGTCACCTCGTCTTAGGGCTTTAAATCCCACCTCAAGCCTGGACCTCTTTCTTAAATGCTGGACTTGTATACTCAACTGTTGACCAGCATTCTTACCAGGATTACTAGTAGGCATCGGAGACTTCATCTGCTGCCAACTAAGCTTTTGCTTTCACTGCACATCTCAAAACCCATTCATCTTTGCATTTTACCTCTCTCTCAGTGAAGCGCGACTCCATCTCTCAGTGATTTAGGACAAAAAACTAGGACTCACTGTGAATCCTCTATTCTTTCGCACCTTTATTTGATTTGTCAGAAAATACTGTTGTCTCTACTGTCAGAGTGTATCCTGCATCTGACACTTCTCCCTACTTCCACGTCTAACGCCTCAGCTCGATTCACCATCCCCTCTCCCCTGCGATGATTGCAGTATCTTCTTAGTCTCTCCATTTCCACAGTTTCCTGTCTACAGTTTATTCCCAACCCAGTAATTAGAAGGATTTGGTTAAAATGTAAGTTAGATCATGTCATTCTTCTCAAAACCCCTGCAGTAGGGTTCAAGCCAATTTCCTCATTATGATGTAGGAATTCCGAATGATCTGGCCCCACTCGTACCTCACTTCGTACTAACTCCCTCTCTCTTGCGCTGATGCAGCTCTTGGTGCCTTCACACCAGGCACACTCCTACCTCAGGGCCTTTGTACTTGCTGTTCCGTTGGCCTGGAATGCACCTCATTTCCTTCATTCCTCCTTTTTACTTCTCAGTAAGGCCATCCTTCACCAACCTATTAAAATTTTAATTGCTGCCACACAAATTCTCTCCCCCTTCCTGATTTTTCTTCTTAGTTCTTATTGTTAACATACCATATATATTGTTTACCTACCCCGTCTCACAGAATGTATGCTCCAGTGGGCAGGGATTTTGTGTATTTTGTTCACTGATGTTTCTCCAGGGTCTAGAGAGGTGCCTGCACATAGTGCTTCGTAAATATCGAGGGTCGAATAAATCTTTAAAGCATCAGTTATGGATACCCTTAGTTTGTCTTTGGAGATTTTGCAACTTTCTAACAATTTCCAAGAACCTTCTATTGAAGGGAATAACTATGATCTTTTACTCCACCTTTCCACCATGTGAAGAAATCTTTTTATGTACACCCGGATCTGTGGGAACCCAGATCTGTGGGAGCTCTTCCTAGAAATGAGGCCCTCCACCTCAGCAGCTAGCCTGACTGGAAAAACCCATGGGTTACAAAGTGCAGCTTTTTATTGAACCAAAACCTTCTTTTATCCACTGGTTCGCTGTCGCCCCCACCTCTTCCACAGAATAAATCTATCTCCTGGTCTAAACAGACTGTTAGGTCCCTCTGACCCTTCATTTTCCGTAGCATAAACAACCGTGATTTCTTATCGGTTCCTCCTGCGTTGTAGTTTTCTGTCTCCTCACCGTCCTGGCCGCCCTCCTCCAGGCACAGGCCCCACCTTCACGAAGGTCCTCCAGACATACCCCATGGAAGACAACGGGGGTGGGGTTTCCCTGCAGTTGTCACTCTCTCGTAGGTCACAGAGACAGTGTTTGATGTGTGGGGCTTCCTCACTGCCTCGCACGGGCTTTGCCTGTGCTGATGGCGGTGGAGGAAGGGGTCATGGATAGTTCTGGGGTGTGTGTGCATTTGTGGCAATGGCATGAGGCGGCCAGACAGACTGTGCGCCAGTGAAGTTAATGGGTGTGCCAGAGGTGGGGAAGGCTGGGAAGAGCTGTTGGGGGTGAAGACAGCACTGGCCCAGGCCTGGGTGTCCAGGGGGCGGCCCTCCACGCGGGAACTCCGCCTCCCGTCTAGCATCCCGGGGAGTTTCCCGATGGGCTCGGATCATTTCCCCAGAATGCCACTAGATGGAGTGTTGGGGTACAGGATGTGAAGGGGGATTTTTGGGGGTTGTGCAGTAGAAAACCCATAATCTAGTTCTTAAGCAGACTTTTTAAGTCTGTATCACATTTTTTCCTCATCTGCAAAATAGTATCTGCCTTACAGGATTCTTGGGCATAACCAATGAGTTGAAGGAAGTGGAAGTGTTTGTAAAATGTAAAAAAGAAACTTTTTTGCTATTAAAAAAAGAAATGGAGTGTTATGGGGCACCAGGGTGAAAGCTGTTTCTTGGCCCAAACTCTGAAAGAGCACCAAGTCCTCCCTAATTCAGCCCACAGGTAGCGCCTGCTGGAATAACCCAACTTCCAGTACCTGGGAATGGAGGGCACGTACCTGAAAATGGGGATGACACAGTTTTTGGGGAAGATTCCGATGCGCCCAGTGAGCAAGGACACGCCCCTGAGCCAGCCGTCCTGGCACTTCCCCAGGACCCTGACGCCTTCTCCCTTCTGCAGCACCAGCTCGTCGGGTCCTTGGGCCGAGTAGGAGTGCAGGGCTACAAACCTGGGGAGACACGGGGAACAAGTGAAGGCGGAAGGTGAGCATGCCCAGGGGATGTGTGGAATCGGGGAGGGAGGGTAGAGGGGACGGAATCTCAGCGCCCATGCGCTAGGGGATCAGCAATAACAACCTTTTGAGAATTGCAACCTCAGTATGTAAGGCGCAAGGGAGTGGTAGAACCCAGCAGAGGTAACACTGGGGCCCCCAGACCCGAGTCCTGCCATCTCTCCCCTCTTCCACAGAGTGACGCATGGTCGCAAGTCACTGTTTGGCTTCCTTGGCATTTTGACGGGGGGAACCTGGCCTAGAATCCAGAAAGGAGTTGGTGACCAGGAGTCAGTGGCAGAGCTGGGTCTCAGACCTAGATGGCTCTACCTGGGACCGCTGAGAATGTCACTCAGGAAGATGGTCACAGCCCATAGGTTCAGGGAAATGAGAGGTCAGCCCAGAAGCCCCTCTGATCCGTGACCTCTCCTGAGAGCAGGGACCCATTTGACCCTCAGGAATGGCCCGAGGAGCTGGCTTCATGTAGGCAGAGAAGTGGACATTGGAAAATGGGAGGCAGGTGTCGATTTGGGTTTTGGTGCATAGTGGGGCACTCGCTGCAGGAGGGGATGGAGGGGGTGGGCTTGCAACAAGGCAGAAATGTCTTCGGTTAGAGCAGGGACTTGTCCGTCCGAAGTCCACCCAGGAATCAGGCAGGTAACCTCCAGGTCCGAGTACGGGGTGAAGACACCAGGGAACATGAGGCTGTGGAAGTGAGGATGCCCGAGTGAGGGCATCACAAACAAATGCACTCGGCTTGCCAGATTCAAGCCAGCAGTGTAGGGGCACAGGCTGGACACTAGGGCCCTTCCAGGCTCTCAGGGCTGTGAGACTCTAGCGGGTTTTCCAAAGAGGCCAGGGGAGCCTCTCACCTGCAAGTTTCTTTCCCCTCTAAAGTGCTGTGTTTACCTTTCGCCAATTACTAAAGCAACATCTATTCAGCAACATTCTGAGTGGAAAAGAGGACAACAGGGATTGCTGAACACCCAAGCTCCTAGCGATGTTTTCCTATATAATCTTCCAGCCTCTTTCCACTTTTGCAGGACAATGAGCTAGGAGGTTGCAGTTTGGTGCTGTTTGTGTTTTTCACCGTCATTTCCTTTGCAGGCTGCAGGGGTGCTCTTTTCTCTGTGGATGGGATGATTCGGGGGCATGGTTAGTCCTGACGGCGGGGGGTTGGCAAAGCCAATTCCTGAGCGCCAGGACTGGGGGTGGAGGGCTGAGCTTCTTACTCACATGTTAGCCGAGAGGTGTTGCTGGGAGCCGGGCAGGCTGGCGATGGCTGGGGAGTGTCCTGGGGACGCAGGTGCGGGGTGGTACGTGCTGACCTGCACAGACAGGAAAGACAGCCAGGCAGAACCAGTGAGCACCCAAGCCAGGCCCTCAGCAGAGCACAGGAAGGCCTGGCACAGCTGATAGCGAGAGCTGGGCCCCCCCGCCCATCCTCGTCTTCTCGGGGTTTGCGGCTGTTTGCAGGGTGGCTGGGGATGGGCTGTTTTATGCCACTGGGGTGGCACGCCAGGGGCACATGCTAGAAGACTGCTCAGATATGGCAGAGGACGAAGCCCCATCCAGTTTAGAGCCACCAGGCACTGCCAGGCTCCTGGAGGTGTCCCAGCACCTCCCGCCTGTCCCCAGGGTACGCAAGTCCCTCTATGGAAACCAACTCTCAGAATGTGGTTTGGCCATTACTGCGAACTTAACACTGGCCAGGAGGTTTGGAGTGTTTTACCAGAATCAGCTGATTTAATCCTTATTAAGGTACTATTATCATCTCCATTTCGGGGTGAGAAACGAGGAGAAGAAAGGTCACCCAACTAGTATGAAACACGATTTTAAGCCGGGCAGTGTAGATGCCGAGCCCACACTCACTGGGGCTGACTAATGTTTTACCCAGTGACTTCTGAAGGGGAATCTGAATCCTGTTCACTTTTCCAGGATGAAAGAGGGAGAAATAATGCTAAAAGATCCTGGGAACTTGTCTGCTCTCCCAGGATCTTGCCTATTATCTAACATATTACCCTGCCATTTCCTCCTTGATATATATCACAGGCTCCCAGCCCCCACACCCACCCCAACTAGGCTGTACGTTCCATGACGGCAGGGGCCACGTGTGGTCGTCCATCAGAACGTTTCTTCTGTGCTCAGTGTGTACCAGCAGCTTAAAGAACAAATGAATGAATGGAAAGGTCTTCCTTCCCAATACACCAAGGACCAGTGAGACCTCAACCATGTCCACGTCATCCCGGGTACACACATCAGCCTGGCTTCAGTTCTCCACCCATACATGATGGTAACCATGTATTTGTGCCTCTTTAGGACCATGCTTTTGTGAGTATAAATACTGTTGTGCAATGCTTGGGCAGGTGTGAACGCTTTACTGAGTGCACATGTCTCTGGTTCTGTGTGTTAGCATGTGTGTTTGTTCAGGACCTATGACAATTATATGTCCATGTGTGATGGCATTGGTCTTTTGCATGTCTGATTATGCTCACACATATGGGTCTGTGGATTGATATGCATGTAAGCTGTGTGGGACCGTATATGAGGTTGTGATGTAATTGACTGTAGAGTTCTGTGTGCATGTATATGAACTCTAGAAGTGTGTGCAGGTAGGCACAACTATGTAGTTTTCGTAGTGTGTCTGGGTTGGTGATTGTCTAAATGTGTGTGCATAGGTTCTCAGACTTTGAGGTGTCCTTGAGGTTGTGTAGTATGCATATCACTCTGAGGATCCAGTTACAGGATCAGAAAACCATTCCAGTCAGATAATAACAAGTGTCAATGAGAATGAAAAATGGTGCAGCTGCTTTGGAAAATAGTCAGGCAGTTCCTCAAATGATAAGACACAGGCTTACCATACGACCCAGGTAAGTCCACGCCTAATACATGCTCAGGGGAAATGAAAACATAGAGCCACACCACAACTTGCCTGTGAGTGTTCACAGCAGCTTTATCCATAACAGCCAAAAGGTGGAAATGTCCATCGGCTGATGAATGGATAAACAAAATGTGCTATATCCACACGATGGAATATCATTCAGCCATAAAAGGAATAAAGTATTGATCCATACTAGAACAGCATAAGCCCTGACAACATTATGCTAAATGAAAGAAGCAGATGCAAAGACTACCTTACATAATTCCATTTGTATGAAATATCTAGAAGAAGGAAATCTACGGAGACAGAAAATAGATGAGTGGTTTCCAGGGGCTGGGGTCATAAAGGGATTCGGGGATGGTGGGTAAAGAGTTCAGGGTTTCTTCTGAGGTGATGAGCTGTAAAATCGTGGTGGTAATGGCTGCATGAATCTGTGGATATTTAAAAAAACCACTGAGTTGTATACCTTATATGGGTGAATTCTATGGCATTTGAATTATATCTCAATAAGCTCTCAAAAAATAACAGCAACATCCATAGTCACCCATCCCAGGCTCACTGACACGGCACACAGTGTTCTGAGCTTTGCAATCAAACATTGCCACACCGGTTCCTTTATGCCAAGAAGAAAAGTTGCAGGCTTTGGGCTAGCCCGCTCCTTCCCTGTGATTGGGCAGGACACATCCCTGCTGGCCTGGGAGCTGTGTCAAGGGAGAGCCTTGTTATACGAATAGCTAAGCTTATGTTTGTGGAGAATGTTGGGCCACTGATTAAGCAGGGTGAACTTCACTGAACACCCATGGTTTTCCAATGGTATGTTTGAGTACAAAGCCCTTCCCTCCATAAACAGTATCAATCATGCAGGGAGGTGGAGGATGCCAGCATGCGTAGCACCCCTCCATCACACCCGGCTCGCTCGCTATTTATTTATTTATTTATTTAATAACTATAGTGCCATTTATTATACTCCCCAAAAAACAAACAATAATTCCTTATCCAGTTCATTATTCAAGTTTGCAAGTGTTTCATAAATGTCATAATTTTTCAGTTTATTTGACTCGAGGTCCAGTTAAGATTAATGCATTGAGATCGGTTAATATATCTCT